GGGTCCGCTTGTCTTGAAGGCACAAGAAGTCACAACGAATGGCGTGTATCGACTCTCGCGTGCTATCTTACTGTAGCTAGCCCGTGTCAGACACTCTGCGAGCTACTTCGCCGAGGGTTTGCACTTTAGTGCTTTCATTACCCTCGGCGCGCATGCGCAGCGAGGGTACTGTAGTTGGGTTTGTCTGTGTGTGTGTGTGTCTGTGTGTGTGTGTCTGTCTGTTACTCTCAATCTCACTTCTCGAATGTCTGTTCGTCTCACAAACGATACGACCTACTTAACGGGCAATGAAGGTCAGAAATTTCGAACGGTTTTCTCTGAAAATGCTCCGTTGCAAAGCTAGAGCGCTTCCACATTGTATGGCTAATGCCGGTAGTCGCCATTTTATCGCTGGCGGATAATGCGCATGCGCTTATATTTGGCACAGGCTTACCTCGACGGGGTCCGCTTGCTCTGTCTATCTTGAAGGCACAATAAGTCACAACGAATTGCGTGTATCGACTCTCGCGTGCTATCTACTACTGTAGCTAGCCCGTGTCAGACTCTCTGCGAGCTACTTCGCCGAGGGTTTGCACTTTAGTGCTTTTCATTGGGTCTGTCTGTGTGTGTGTGTGTCTGTTATTCTCAATCTCACTTCTCGGGTGTTTGTTCGTCTCCCAAAGGATACGACCTACTTAACGGGCAATGAAGGTCAGAAATTTCGAACGGTTTTCTCTGAAACTGCTCCGTTGCAAAGCTAGATCGCGAAAAAGCCAATATGCAAATACACAACGGTTTACCACAGATCCGCGTGCTCTGCGTACTTCGGAGGCACCAGAAGATGCAACGCAGGACGTGTATCGCCTCTCGCATACTATCTAGTAGTGTAGTTAGCCCGCGTCAGACTCTGCGCGAGCTGGCAAGAGACCGCGAGTAACAGCTAAAACTAAACCCAGCCCATCAATTGGTGGTACAGCGCATGCATTTACTTACGCGTGCGCGTCACAGCACAGTGCGCAGAGGGTTTGCACTTTAGTGCTTTTCATTGTAGTCTGATTACTGAAGCCTGCCTATGAAACCACCCAACCATATGTGCCACAACCTAACTGCATCGTTGTTGGAGACACTACGCATACACCCTGCTTCAGCCCATTAGCTTCTGCTTTCAACAGTTATCTCTACAACACCCATGAACATCAGAGTGACTGAAAATGCAGTGTTGTCACAAGGCATGAAAAATAGTGGAAACAAGTGGAAAAATCATTTGAAGGGGGATATAGGGATGGCTTGAAGCACCAATAAGGAAGAAATGAAAAGCACTGAAGTGCAAACCCTCGGCGAACTGCGCACGCGCGGTACCACTAATTGATGGGCTGGGCTTTTAGTATGCGTTTACTCGTGGTATCCACGCTAGTAGCTCGCGGAGAGTCTGACACGGACAAGCTACAGTAGTAGATAGCATGCAGGAGTCGACACACGCCCTTCGTTGTGACTTCTTATGCCTTCAAGATACACCGATAAAAATGGCCGACTACGCATTAGCCGTACAATGGTGGAAGCGCTCTAGCTTTGCAACGAAGCATTTTCAGAGAAAACCCCACATATTTTCAGACCTTCGTCGCCCGTTGGGTAGATGGTATCGTTTCTGGGACGAACAGACATTCGAGAGGTGAGATGTAGAGTAACAGACAAACAGACAGACAAACAGACAAACCCAACTACTGTAACCCTCGCTGCGCATGCGCTCCGAGGGTTAACAAGGGATCATTACACAGCAAAGATGCACAAAGCTACATGACACCATCCCTATATCTTTGTGTTATAGTTTCACAAGTAAAGTTTAATATGAGACAAAGATATAGGGATGGTCATTGGTGTCATGTAGCTTTGTGCATCTTTGCTGTGTAATTACCCCTTGTTTCTTCCTTTTTGGTGCTTCAAGCCATCCCTATATCCCCCTTGAAATGATTTTTCCACTTGCATAATGACGCCCATTATATGAGGACACCTTTCCTAAGCAAAAGATAACTGTTATGACTGACAATAATGAGCAAACATTAAAGCCACAAGACCCCCACCCACCCCCAAACAGGGTTAGTAGCTACAAGAAATCCCAATCATTTAACTCTCGGCGCGCGCATGCGCAGCGATAGTTTAACCCTCGGCGCGCATGCGCAGCGAGGGTTACAGTAGTCGTTCAGTGTGTGTGTGTCCGCGACTATTCTCGCGCTACAGGCTACGAGGCGGCTTATGAGCGATACCAACAGCTTTAGCGGTACATGGGCTAGAAAAAAAATGGCGATTTTGCTGAAACGACTGCGTTCGAGAGCGACAAACTGACACGGTCGCGGGACAGCGTTGCGTGGCCCAACCCCCATCAATAAGCGGTGCGCATGCGTGTATTAGACGCGATCAACGCAGTATGCTGGCTCACCTCGACCTGATCCACTTGCTCTGTGTACCTTGGAGCACAAGAAGCCACAACGAAAGGTGTGTATCGACTCCCGCATGCTATCTACTACTGTAGCTAGCCAGTGTCAGACTTTCCGCAAGCTACTAGCGGGAGACCGCGAGTAAACGGCAATAGCCCAGCCCATCCATATTAGCGGTACCGCGCATGCGCAGTTCGCCGAGGGTTTTCATTCTGCATTTTCATAGGTCTTCGGAAAGCCTATGTAGACTTTATTACCAATACATATGAGCATTTGTAAAGGCAACAGCAATACAAAATTATTACCTTTGCCATGAATTTGTGAATCCATAACACTCCAAAAATCACTATTACATGAAGCAACTGCATCTCTCTATGAACACCTCTCTGAGACACTCGCAGCATGCATTGACTGTGTAGGCAGCTTTAAGTAAAATATAACATTTTTTGGCTGACAATAATGTATGACAAAGCCATGAGACCCCCACCCACCCCCAAACAGGGTTAGCAGCTACAAGAAACCCCAATCGGCATTGATTGTGATTTTAGTCAAAATTTGCAGTACGGTAGTGAGTCATACACAGTGAATGAGAGAAGGATGGTGTTAATACCCTCTTTCTCTTTGGGACAGTGGTGAGTATTATAATAATTAACCCTCGGCGCGCATGCGCAGCGAGGGTTACAGTAGTTGGGTTTGTCTGTCGTCGTCTGTCTGTTACTCTCATCTCACTTCTCGAATGTCTGTTCGTCCCAGAAACGCGTACCATCTACCAACGGGCGACGAAGGTCAGAAAATATGTGGGGTTTTCTCTGAAATGCTCCGTTGCAGAGCTAGAGCGCTTCCACCATTGTACGGCTAATGCGTAGTCGGCCATTTTTATCGCTGCGGAAAAATGCGCATGCGCTTATAACCTCGACGGGTCGTCCGCTTGCTCTGTGTATCTTGAAGGCACAAGAAGTCACAACGAAGGGCGTGTATCGACTCTCGCATACTATCTACTACTGTAGCTAGCCCGTGTCAGACTCTCTGCGAGCTACTAGCGGGAGATCACGAGTAAACGCATACTAATAGCAGCCCAGCCCATCAATTTGCGGTACCGCGCATCCCCAGTTCGCCGAGGGTTTGCACTTTAGTGCTTTTCATTGGGTTTGTGTGTGTGTCTGTTACTCTCAATCTCACTTCTCGAGTGTTTGTTCGTCTCATAAAGGATACGATCTACTTAACGGGCAATGAAGGTCAGAAAATATGTGGGGTTTTCTCTGAAAATGCTCCGTTGCAAAGCTAGAGCGCTTCCAGCATTTTATGGCTAATGCCAGTAGTCGCCATTTTTTTCGCTGGCGGATTATGGGCATGCGCTTATATTTAGCACAGGCTTACTTCGACCGGGTCCGCTTGCTCTGTCTATCTTGAGGGCACAAGAAGTCACAACGAATGGTGTGTATCGACTATCTACTACTGTAGCTAGCCCGTGTCAGACTCTCTGCGAGGTACTAACGGGAGACCACGAGTAAACGCATACTAATAGCAGCCCAGCCCATCAATTAGCGGTACCTCGCATCCCCAGTTCGCCGAGGGTTTGCACTTTAGTGCTTTACATTGGGTTTGTCTGTCAGTCAGTCTGTCTGTTACTCTTCATCTCACTTCTCGAATGTTCTTTCGTCTCACAAAGGATACCACCTACTGAATGGGCAATGAAGGTCAGAAAATTTGTGTGGTTTTCTCTGAAACTGCTCCGTTGCAAAGCTAGAGCGCGAAAAATCCAATATGCAAATACACAACGGACGGGACGCCCGGCTTACCGCGGTCTGATCGCGGTCTGATCGATCCGCGTGCTCTGCGTACCTCGGAGGCACCAGAAGATGCAACGCAGGGCGTGTATCGCCTCTCGCATGCTATCTAGTAGTGTAGTTAGCCCGCGTCAGACTCTGCGCGAGCTGGGAAGAGACCACGAGTGACAGATAAAACTAAACCCAGCCCATCAATTAGTGGTACGGCGCATGCGTTTACTTACGCGTGCGCGTCACAGTGCGCCGAGGGTTTGCAGTGCAGTGCTTTTTACCCTCGGCGCGCATGCGCAGCGAGTGTACTGTAGTTGGGTTTGTCTGTCTGTCTGTCTGTTATTCTCAATCTCACTTCTGGAATGTCTGTTCGTCTCACAAGCGATACACGGGCAATGAAGGTCAGAAATTTCGAACGGTTTTCTCTGAAAATGCTTCGTTGCAAAGCTAGAGCGCATCCAGCATTGTATGGCTAATGCCGGTAGTCGCCATTTTATCGCTGGCGGATAATGCGCATGCGCTTGTATTTAGCACAGGCGGCTTACCTCGACCGGGTCCGCTTGCTCTGTCTATCTTGAAGGCACAAGAAGTCATCTCGCTCGCGTGCTTGTATCTACTGTAGCTAGCCCGTGTCAGACTCTCTGCGAGCTACTTCGCCGAGGGTTTGCACTTTAGTGCTTTTCATTATAACTGAAAGAAAATCTCTGGTGGTTGCAGTCACCATATGCAACTCTCTTTCCCAAGAATGTTTTCTGATTAATTGCTGTAGCTACATCAGAAATGCACGCTATTCATAAAAAGCGCAACAATCTGCCAAAATGAATGAACTTTACTGATAACACTTACCAAGTTAAGCCATTGCCATAATTTCATTACACTGTATGTTGCAGCTACATTACAAAAAGACATACATCAACAGTGTTCTCTATATGTGGGTGTCATCATACTCAGTAAGAGGTAAGGCAAGTTCTAGACTAGGCAGTGTCAGCTCCATCCCCTCCCTCCCCACCAGCCAATACGACTCAATGGGCCTCCTGGCTGACCACATGGTGTAGTCCGGACACCTCTCAAACTGAAACTGTCCCGCCGAGGCCAGCAGCTCCTGACAGGGCTTGCTCACACGTATCTGGAGTGCCAGCCCTGTCAGGCAAAGGTTACGAGTGTGACTCAAAGAGAGTCCAAACAGTTTGTAGTGAGGTATTCGAGAACCATCGCTCCCTCCTGAAGTCTGGAGACCGATGACCCCAGCAGAGCAGGACCCCTCTAGATATTTAGTAAGAAAACTGCACTGAGTAATACTCTGCCTTTTCACCATGTTAGTGTGCAACCGCACGCCGGGAAAATCTTGCATGAGCGCCTTCAGCCGTGATATCCAGGGCTTGGACATAGTCCGAGACCTTAACACATCAATTCCAGTAAACCTACATTATACTTCACCAAAATCAACAACAACTGTCAGATGCATTGCTTTATACCTCGAGAGTATATATACCAATTAAGTCAATGTCATAATGACCATGGACAACTGTTCCATCTCCAAGAGAGCCTTCCTTAATAACATCGCTGTCGTGAAAACCTTCAGAAGTCGACAGGACATACAATATTAAAATGTACACATTCTATAAGCTCCAGCTATAATTAGCTATACTTTCTGTATTCCCTTGCCCCTCAATTATCTTACGTGATGAATGTGTCTCATGATCCTGTTGACAGCCTGCTTTGCCATAGCAATAGTGGGGTCACCTTCAATAGCAGCCATGATGACTATTTCCTTGTCAGTGCGTTGTTACAACAGCAATAGCCAAACCTTTATAGTTTTGCCTGTAAGGTAGTTCCCCCGGGGAATCCCCTACACTTTCCTGGCAGCTCGGTCAAACATTCCTTGAATTGTATACCAGTTCCTGTTAGCTATCATTATTCATTTGCTCAACTGAAGTAGTACATGTCTAAGGAAAACTGAGTTTACATGAATCTACCAGTGCCAAATTCAAACGCTGTTGAAAACCATGGCTGCACTTTTATACTCTACTACGGACAAGTGCATGGGAGTATAGCTCACAGGAAACTGCCTGAGAAAAGTCTATAGTCTATTTCCATGTCTCATTTGGCTGTCCAGTTATTATGTAGCTATCACCGTGGTTCATTCCATCAAAGATATTCTCTCAGTTACACTGGAAGGCAATTATGGATATATTATTATATCGGAGCCGTATAATGAATGTGAAAAGTTTACATTCTTTGGGAGAGCTTTTAGTATGAGCATAACTATCACTATAATTATACACGTATATTTTAGTAGTTCCCTAACAGTGTTTTCTGGTGTTATTCCTTCTGGTCTGACTCAATAGTTGACCTGGGAGAGATCAATAGTGTGGATTATGCTGACAAGCACTGAGGCATCTCCTCTGATTCCACTTCCCCACACATTGTTGGCAGGATTAGCAGGATCAACGACACGAGGACGGGCTGGCAGGAGATTGCTGTACTCTGCCAACTTATAAAAGTCCTCCCAATAAACACTGATCAAAGAAACAAGAAAGAGTGACTAATAGGGGGTGTAAAATACTCACTCTAATAAAGGAGTCTTCACCAATGACATTAGTTCTGTAGTGACCCTGTAAAAAAATAAGTAACATAATCTGCTCATAGATAGGGCACTAAAAACTTACTCTCTGGGTCCAGCTCCATAATACCGCCTGTTAGCAGTTTCATAGGCCTTCACAACCAGGAGAGACATCAGGTATGATGACGGTCTCCCAGGCTTGTCAGCACCAAAGTATTTATTCCTCCAGGCTTTAGCTCTGCGGATGTACTCTTTCGCCTTGAAATATTAATGTTGTATTCTTAGACAGTAAAATTCAACTTTAATCATATACCTGATTATCAACTTTATGAAAGAATTGAATTTGCCATTTTGAGGCACAAACAGTGAATCTGAAAAGTTCTCACATTTGGTCAACAAGCACAGTCAAACAAACTACTTATAGCTACTATCACTCACATATCACGTCTCTCTCTGGATAAAGTCACTAGGAACTGATAGAACTCTCTCGGATTGCTCCAGAAAGGACTGACTAATAGGTCTACACTCAGATTCACTCCTTGGTATGAACACTTAAATTGGACCGATCGATTGTTATATCCTGGTGTGTAGCTCGTAATTCCAAATTCCTCTTCTATAAACCCTTTGAGTTGCGAAGTCCAGTTGCCAAAGCCATTATATGAACACACAACTCTAGCAGATATATCTGTGGAGAGGCAAATAAATATCGGCAAGTATGCTGAGTTTCCTGGAAGTCCTGTATTAATGCATAGCTAATTATATACGAGTCTTAAATATGATTACCCTATATACAAGCCCCTCTGAGCACTTCATGAAGTTTCAAGAGTCTGAGGAGTCACTTTAAATCGCTTTAGTCAGTTGCAACAGTGAGAAAGCAATACATACATACTGCGACATATTGACCACTAATAAATAAACAGAAAGCCAGCGCTTACACGCTTATACATTACATTACCTCTGGAATACAGAACCAAGTCAATGTCATAGTGGCCTGGTACAACAGTACCATGTCCCAGAGACCCAGCTTTCACTATCTCACTAATGTTGAATTTCCTGAAACGAGTCTGCAACAATTGTCAATCCCAAGAAAAGTGTGACCCTGATAGACTTACTTCCAGTCGTGAAACAATCTGATCTACAGCTGCCTTTGGCTTGGTAAGATCCTCTGTCAACAAAACATGGACCTACAACACAGCAGCAGAGAACCTTACCCATTGTCCTGTAGTTGGCCTCTCTTTCTCTTTTTCCGCAAAACCCCTCAAATGTGCAGTTGTGACGTTAGACAAGAAATGCTGCCGCATTTAACAACTGGTCACAGAACAACTCAGGTGATTTCACATCTGCTAACTCCTGACTCTCTACCCAGAATTTGGAAATTCCCCAGAGCTTGAGTTAACAGTAATCAGCAGTATTCACGCAACTCTGATGTCATATTTTCCCCAAGAGTTCTTCCCAATTTCAATAGAAATGATATTCATGGTTGTTACACACAGTTGCTATGATCTTCCAAGAGATGCAGCGTCTATTATACTGTTATGAATGTACCCAAGTGAACTAGCTCTTACTGATAACACTCATCAAGTTAATTAAGCCATTGAATTATTACATTTGACAATAATTAAGACACAGCTACATCAACAGTGTTCTCTATAATATGTGGGTGTCATGTACTCAGTGAGAGGTAAGGGACTAGGCAGTGTCAGCTCCATCCCCTCCCTCCCCACCAGCCAATACGAATGGGCCCCTGGCCGCCAACATAGTATTATAGCGGAAGTGCTCGCTTATGCTGGGACAAACAAGGGGTTCCGGGCGGGACGTCGGGTGAAGGTAGTAATATCGGGACTGTCCCGGACGGTTGGCAGACTGAGCAAGCGGACCCGCTAGAGACTCAGCATGCCCTGGCAAAACACTGACCAAGACGCGCATGCGCTCCAGAGAAAGCCGGCCAGCGTACGCTTGTTTTCAGTTTCACGCCATATCTCTGGAACGCAGTCGTTTCAGCAAAATCGCCACATTGTTCTCGTTGTTCTGAAACCGATGGTGCCACTCATTGGCCGCCTCGTAGCCCGTAGTGCCAGAATAGCAGTAGGCAGACAGGGCAGACACCTTTGCTGCGCATGTGCGCCAAGGGTTAATTACACTTCCATCCCACATAATGTAAACAGGGTTTGAGGATTCTTCACCTGCGATGTTTGTGACTCTGGGTAAGTAGGTAATGCATATGGGATCTTGGTAGGCTATTTTCTGGGTCCAGCTCCACTGCACTGGCAACCAACCAGATTGAAGTAGTTATTGATTTTGTTGTTTCCATAAAGTTGAACATATATATAGTGCGTGGCGGCGCTTTTGATCCACCCACACATGACGACATAAATAATGATACACATTATATGAGGACACCTTTCTTACATAAGGACATCTTTTCTTTCCCCAATAATGCATGTAATATCAAATAAAGACACCACTTCTCTATCATGGACACTATGTCCCAGTTGGGGTCTAGATTTATAGGAGTTCCAATGCATGTTTGTCACATGGCTTTGAACAGCGTAGCAAAACAATTTGCTCAGACTTTTGTGTGTTTAGCACAAGCATGAAATGAAAACATCTTAAGTAGCTATATTATACACAGCAGTTTTTATAGACAAAACATCAATTGTGTCTACAAGTGTAGAAATAACTACCACATGCAGCTATATAGACCCTACGTGACTCTTGTGTAGTTACTAGGTGGACAAAACAATCTGTGTTCGTAGCTAACTCTATATTTGGCAAGTTATTTTTATAGCTAACTGGGTCAAAATAAGTGAAATGGTTCACTGTTACTATTCCTTCCTCCCCTCCTGCATGACACCACCCTCAGTAGCTGCCCTTCCTCCATCTTCTCCGCATGATGTTTCTGCAGTGAACGGGTTAAATCCAATTTCCAAATAACCAGCTATTCCCTCGATAATCTTTGAGCCATTGTTGTACAATGTCTTGAAAGAAGGTCTCTTGTCTGGCACAGCCTCCCAGCAAGTGAGCATCATCGTGTAACTACATATTAGGAGGAAAATAATTACCCATACTCAGCCTCCTCCAAAGCAAGTACATACATTTTGTCTGAACATGCAGAGTTGTATGGCTTTGGCAATCTCTCTCCTTCCTCCAACATCTGCACCAGAGTGGCGGGATTAGTCCCGGGATAGGGGGACTTACCCCCACTGAACACCTCCCACATAGTGACCCCATACGACCACTGTTTGTTTTAGGGAGTGAGTCTTGCTTCATGTACGCAAACACAAAGTGCCTACCACATCACTTTTCTCAGAGAAGTGTCCATCGCTGAGACTCTCTGGGGCCATCCACTTGACGGGGAGTTTGGCCATCTCTCCATCCACTCCCTCTCTATAGTAGTTTCTCTGAAACACGTCCTCAGACAGACCAAAATCGGATATCTTTATCACAAAGTGGGAATCAATCCTTTATGTGGTGGGGAGAAGTGGTATTAGTTAGTGTGACTGTGTATGCCAACATCAGACATTAATCACTTCAACTGTATGCATGGGTCAATAGAAGCAACTTTGGTGGGGAAGTTTTGGTTTTCAGCAAGTCTCTTATGGCTCTCCATTGCTGGTGGTATAATAATTTCCAGAGTGCCCTATACTGACACTACTGGCCCACAGTCGTGTAGCTACACAAGAGTC